TTGTGAACAATTATTAACTATTGTAAATTAGCATCTGTAACCTGTGCTCGTGTATTACCCGCACCCGTACGTAACCTGCGGTTTTTCCTGATTGTGTAAAAAAAGTCTTAGATAACCCATGCACATGTATAGCCCACGGGAGATGAACCGTGTGTACTGTTAATGAACAGGACCTGTAATGAAGTGTTAATGAACTGCAGCTGATGACGCAGAGCAGTAAGTATGCTACAACCCTTATTGCTGGTATATAACCCCTTTAAACCACACTGTTTTACCATTTATTTATTCCTTTAGTAGTTTTAACTTGTAATGAATTTTTTTAAAGTATTTAAAACATCTTAAAACTTTTTAAACATGCCTAAGTGAAAATCCTACACAGCCGATTTTAAATTGTGTCTTGTGACATGCAAAGGACAATGGAAACAGAGCAGCAAGGAGAAAATAGTCTGTCAACGAAAAGTCTGTTCGGGAGTGGAGAAAGGAAGAAGCAGAGATTGAGAAATTACACCCTAGGAAAAGAGCGCACCGTGGAAAGAAAGCCAAGTGGCCGAAACTAGGAGAAAACCTGTTGAAGTGGGTTTGTGCACAGAGAGAGAACAAAAGGGCAGTGTCGATGGTAGCCATACAGCTCAAGGCTCGACTTATGGCTATGGAACAGAAAATCTATTATTTTAATGGGGACTCAGGAAATTGGGTGTACAAATTTATGCAGAGAAACAATCTGTCAGTTCACGCATGGACATTGGTTGGCCAACGGCTTCCCAATGAATGGGAGAAGAAAATGGATGATTTTAAAACTTTTGTACATAAAGAAATTAATCAACCGGGCTTGAAACCAAACAACGTTATTAACATGGATGAGGTGCCCGTGTCATTTGATATACCCGCTACTTGGTCTGTTGTGGAAACTGGATTGAAAACAGTCAGTGTAGCAACCGCCGGTCATGAACGCCCCTGTTTTACTGTAGTGTTGGCATGCATGCAAATGGTGATAAATTAAAACCAATAGTGATTTTTAAGAGGGTAATAATGCCTAGAGAAAAACTGCCGGCTGGCTTTTGTGTGATTTGTAACAAAAAGGGCTGGATCAACACAGATATTATGAAGACGTGGACAGATAGCTACTTTTGTGCACGAAAATGTGGTTTTTTAAATCCTAAATCTCTGCTGCTTTTAGATTCCTTGGCTGCCCATAAAGAAACTTCAGTTCAGAAACCTATCAACACTGTGGGTGCACATATCGCCGTAATTCCAGGTGGACTGACCTACAAGTTGCAACCACTTGATGCAACCACCCGTTCAAGTGCTTCGTCCGAGAGGAATAGGACAATTGGATGACAAATGGGGAACACACATTCACTCCGGCAGGTTGGCAGCACCATGCAACTTACGGTGGAAGTTTGCAAATGGGTTTTCGCTGCTTGGAACAGAATAAAACAGGTTACTATTTGGAATGGGTTTCATAAATGTCAAATTCTTCCTGACATTGACTCGTCTAGCTCCGAATCTAACTATGACAGTGATTCTAATTTGGCACCACAGACCGCAACCGTCACCGAAGCTCACCTAGCCTTGGTTATGGATTTTATGGATATTTTTCAAGACAGTGACAATGACAAAAATTTTGACGGTTTTGAAAACTCAGACACTGAGGAGAATGTTGCTACCACTGATTCTAGTAATGCAGAATGAATGAGCTTATGTATTTTATGACAAACTGTTTTACCATATATTTATTCTTTTATTATTAGTTTCACATTAAAGTTTTAACTTTTAATGTATTTTAACATCACTGCCACTATTATTAAATTAAAATATGCTGCTTTTATCAAGTAAAGCAGTCTTGTCTTCCTGTAATCTCAGTAAAAAAAACCTTGTATAACACACGGACGAGTATAGCCCGTGGAGGGGGGATTGTAAAACCTTGCATAACCCACGGGTTATATATGCTAAAACACGGTACTTTCTGAGAATGGTTATCCAGCCAGTTATGCACCCACCTTATAGTAGCCGCATCTAAGTTCTATTTGCCTAGTTTATTGATAAGAATGCAAGACCATATCAAATGCCTTACTAAAGTCTAGGTATACCACATCCACCGCCTCTCCCCTATCCACAAGACTTGTTATCCTATCAAAGAAAGCTATCACATTGGTTTGACATGATTTGTTCTTTACAAATCCATGCTGGCTGTTTCCTATCACTTTATTATCTTCCAAGTGTTTGCACATGATTTCCTTAATTACTTGTTCCATTATCTTTCCTGGCACAGAAGTTAAACTGACTGGTCTGTAGTTTCCTGGGTTGTTCTTATTTCCCTTTTTATAGATGGGCACTATATTTGCCCTTTTACAGTCTTCTGGAATCTCTCCTGTCTTCCATGATTTTCCAAAGATGATAGCTAAAGGCTCAGATACCTCCTCTATCTGCTCCTTGAGTATTCTAGGATGCATTTCATCAGGCCCTGGTGACTTGCAGACATCTAACTTTTCTAAGTGATTTTTAACTTGTTCTTTTTTTTATTTTATCTTCTCAATCTACCCCCTTCCGACTAGCATTCGCTATGTTAAGCATTCCTTCATCAGACTTCTCGGTGATGACCGAAACAAAGAAGTCATTACGCATCTCTGCCATTTCCAAGTTTCCTGTGACTGTTTCTCCCTCCTCACTGAGCAATGGGCTTACCCTGTCCTTGGTCTTCCTCTTGCTTCTAATATATTTATAGAATGTCTTCTTGTTTCCCTTTATGCCTGTAGCTAGTTTGAACTCGTTTTGTGCCTTTGCCTTTCTAATCTTGCCCCTGCATTCCTGTATTGTTTGCCTATATTCATCCTTTGTAATTTGTCCTAGTTTCCATTTTTTATATGACTCCTTTTTATTTTTAGATCATGCAAGATCTTCTGGTTAAGCCAAGGTGATCTTTTGCCATATTTTCTATGCCATATTCCTACGCAGTGGAATAGCTTGCTTTTGGGCCCTTAATAATGTCCCTTTGAAAAACTGCCAACTCTCTTCAGTTGTTTTTCCCCTCAGTTTTGCCTCCCACGAGACCTTACCTACCAGCTCTCTGAGCTTACCAAAATCTGCCTTCCTGAAATCCATTGTCTCTAATTTTCTGTTCTCCCATTTACTATACCTTAGAATCAGGAACTCTATGATTTCATGATTACTTTCATCCAAGCTGCCTTGCACTTTCAAATTCTCAACCAGTTACTATTTGTTAAAATCAAATCTAGAATAGCTTTCCCCCAGTAACTTTTTGAACCTTCTGAAATAAGTTGTCTTCAATACAGTCCAAGAACTTATAAGATAGTCTGTGCCCCGCTGTGTTAGTTTCACAACATATATCTGGATAGTTGAAGTCCCCCATCACCACCAAATCCTGTGTTTTGGATGATTTTGTTAATTGTTTAAAAAAAGCTTCATCCACCTGGGTAGGTGGCCTGTAGTAGACCTCTAGTATGACATCACCCTTGGTTTTTACCCCTTTTAGCTTAACTCAGAGACTCTCTACACATCCGTCTCCTATGTCCATCTCTACCTCAGTCCTTGTGTGTACATTTTTAATAGATAAGGCAACACCTCCTCCCTTTTTTCCCCACCTGTCCTTCCTAAGCTGTACCCTTCCATACCAATATTCCAATCATGTGTATTTTCCCACCAAGTCTCTGTGATGCCAATGATGTCATAGTTGTATTTATTTATTAGCACTTCCAGTTCTTCCTGCTTATTACCCATACTTCTTGCATTTGTATATAGACATCTAAGATACTGATTTGATCTTGCCTCCCAGTTGTGCCTTGTTCCTCCTTTCTCTCTGCTATTATAGCCCACACTCCCTCCCATTTCTGACCCATCTCCCAAGTCTCCATGTTCTTCATTTACCCATGAGCTTTGGTCACCTGTCCCCATCGAACCCCATTTAAAGCCCTCCTCATTAGGCTAGCCAGTCTGTATCCAAATATGGTCTTCCCCTTCCTCAAAAGGTGAACGCCACCCCTGCTTAACAGTCCTTCCTGGAATAGCATCCCATGGTTAAGGAAGCCAACTCCCTGTAGCATTTGATCAATTGTTTTTGGCTCAATGCACATGTTTGCCATCATTTAACTCTTGATAGGGTCCAACCCAGCAAGAGGCTGAGCAGCTTTTTTTGAAGTTTGGCAAGGTTCCCCTTTTTCCCTGGCCAGCATTGGGGCTGGCAACCTTTCTTCTTTGCCAGGGGTTGGGTCTTGCAGCTGTTTCCTGGGATAGGGAGCCTACCACTTATTCTGGGATTCCTCACCTGCTATTTCTAGTGCTATAATTGCTATAGCTTTTTCTCAAACTCTTACTCTCTGTCTCTCCTTACATCCTCTCACTCTCTCCCCAATCTCCTTACTGGGGAAGCTTTTAAAGGTCTCCAGCAGGCCTGAAGTAGAATCAGCTGGCTCTAATCTGCCTGGGCCAGCTCCCTGCAGCTGCTCCTAATTGCCCTGCAGTCCTCTGCCCCTAATTAGCAGGCCATTTACCATCCCATGATTTCAAATAGGCCCACTCTGTTGTAGCTCTTTGGTCTGATCTTGTTGCCGGAGTTGTTCTGTAATACTTTGAATACTGTATTTTGACCCAGTTATTGGAATGTTTACTATATGAGTAGATTGGTTTGGTTTAGTTTAACAACTGGTTGCAAGGAAACAAGCAGGAAGGAAACAATAGGTTAAGTTAAGTAACTCCTCAGTAAACACTTCAGGGTTGTTAAGAAACACTGCCCAAACAATTGTGTGTTAAGATTTTTCCTTCCAGCTCTAGGCATCTTATGGAATTGATTTTAACAAGCAGGGAAAAACCCAGGGGCTGTTCTGAACAAAGGACCCCTGGCTGAACTGAAGAGGAATCTCTCTCGAGGGAAGGCTGTTATTGGGAGTGTTGGGTAAAATGGAAAGGTTTGTGCACTGTTTGTGGGTTTAAAATTATTCCTATTCTTTCTTCTTCTCTCTTCCTACTGTAAAAATAAATGATACTTTGGTTTTAAGAAGGCTGTCAGGTTAGCCAGAATTGTAACAGGCTCCTGGAAGAGAAGAACCCAGCTGAACCCACTGGAGCCCAGGCTCAGGTAAGAGGGAGTGAATCACAGGATGCCACTGTGAGAGAAATAAAGACACACAGTCTGACACCTGGGTCTATGCTCAGAGAGGGAGTGGAATTGCACCTGGATTTGCCCCCATGGCATGGGATACCCTCCACACCTATTGAAATCAGTGGAAACTGATGGTGCTTAGAGTGGTTTAATTTAACACATTGCAGCAGAATCATGTCCCTTCTGTCTTTAGTGACTCAGACAGAAAGTTGAAGAAAGTCACCATTCCTGTGTAGTTTGTTTTGCTCAGGACTCTCATCCTCTTTGTGCTCTAAAGTAGCAAATGGTCAGGAAGTTGTTTCTTCCAGCAACACAGTGCCCTCTAGCATTATACTTGTTCAGTGCTGAATCTGAGGACATAGTGTTACCAACAAACTCTCTATCTAACACCACTTCTTACAACAACTAGTAGATTATTGGATGTCTCCAATCCAAATACTGGCAAAGGTAAGAGTTCTGAGGGGATATGTTAAAATTTAATAATGCGGCTTTACTCCATTTCTGAGGACCAGTGTTTTATTTTTCTTGCTATCCTCTGAGGAAAAAAATAGAGAATTTCTGGTCACTGAGTGTGTTAACATGTAATTACAGTGTTTTGGTTTTTGTGGGATTTTTTTTCTTTAACAGTCCTCCAAGGGCATGTTCTTTCTCCTTTAACATCTCTTAAGTCTATTTTATGTCAACCATTAAAAATGATGCCTTGTTCCCACCACTTTTGTTACCCTTTAACAAGTGCCAGTAACACCAATTTCAAAAGCTCTGTGAAAAGTGTACTACCATTCAGCTCTTCATGGCCTGTTCTTGTCTTAGCTGGCACTGGTTACTAGCATTGTGTTCTTACACATTAATCAGCATGGGACCTGTTCCACTCGATACAAACTATTTAGCCATGAGTTTTTGCCATGGCAAAATGTTTTCTTTGTATTGATAGTTGTTGCTGGCACCAATATTTAAATGTATCTGCTACTGAAACATAATATCTTGATTCATTTTAGTAATTTGTTCCACTTCTAAAGGTACAAAGTGTTTTGCATGTCATTCCCTATCCCCACTCCTCTCTCCATAGTGCATAGTAAGCTTGGCAACTGGAGAAGTCAAGCAAATAGTTTTACAAAACAAAATATTTTTACTTTTCCACAGAACATATGTTTACCATTATCCTTCTGACAAGATAACCTATATGAAAGTCTTTAAATATATATTTTTTAAAACAATCAAACTCTTCCCTTCCCAGGACACTTCTTTCAATACGTACATTTGGGTCAGAAAGGGGCCTATTCTATAATCCAATGTAGATAGTAAAAATATGTTTAGAATAAACAGTTACTTTATCTCCTTCTGTTACCAAAACAAATGGACATTGCAAGGTACTTGGTGTGGGAATAAAGCATATTTTGATTGATATCCCAGTTTAGTCTTCAGAGGAGTAGCCGAGTTAGTCTGCAACTGGAAAACTTAAACAACTTAAAGACTAACAAAACATGTAGATGGTAGCTTTTGTGAGCACAACCCACTTCTTCAGATGACTGGAGTATTGAAAGTCCAGATCCAAGAATAAATAAAGGATGGGAGGAGGAGGAGAAAAAAAGAGAAAAAGTAGTGAATTAGATCAGTGTTTCTCAACCAGTGGTACGAGTACCCTTAGGGGTACTCTAGAGAAGTCTGGGAAGTACGTCAACACAACTGAAATTTGGAGAAGACTGAATTTTTGTTTTAAGTTTTACAGCACTTTATTATTTTTGTACTTTTTACACTCAAAAATTTCAGCACCGTCCGGCTATGATTAAGTTGTTTGAGCAAATGTGTTGCAATGGTAGAAAAAAATTGTGTGTGAAAACTGGGGGTACTTACAATTTTTTAAAGGGGTACTTTATAAAAAAAAAGGTTGAGGAACACTGAATTAGATTGTTCAAGTTAAAAGATGCTCATCAGAACAATTTTCATCTCTATATCTTGTTGGTTGGTTAAGTTATTAGGAGGTGGAAGGTAGTGTGGGAGCCAGCCAATATTCATTCCTCTCTGACAAGTATCAAAATTGTAAACATAGGCGTGTGCAGCACATTTCATTAGGGTGTGCACCCAAATAATGTTTTCAAAATGTACTCTTTGACCCCCGTTAGCCACACCTCCTGGCCCCCATTAGCCACGCCTCTGGGGGGTAATACTTTTGGGGCAATATGGACACATGACCAGAAATAAAAGATGTCATGTGACCCCCCCCCCAGACTTTTCCCACCATCCTCCTACCAATAGGGATTAATTTGGCCCCCACCAAACCTTCCTCAAGGAACTATCCTGCAACTGCATAAACCCAATGTGTGTGACATTAACTCGGGGGCGGAGAGGCTGGGAGGGTGGAGAAGCTGGGGGAAGTGTCCCCTCTAAGAGTTTCCTCCCATGAGCACAATAAATTTTGTGTTATGCACCAGTACTGAGTTTATGGCTTGTTTGGATGTGCCACTGTGCACCCAAGTTATTAATAAGTATCTTATAAACCTCTACCCTTTCCCTCTGCTGCCATGTCTCTTCTCAATGTCTGTAGGACAAGGCTGGCATTATGGCAAGGCACCTGGACTTGGGCATCACCAAATCTGAAGGGTGTGGGGGAAAAATCTCCAGCAACTCTGCATCACAATACCCCTTTGGCTCTGGAGCTAGAATCCGTATCCCAAAAGTGGTAGGCTCAACCCCTCTCCTAACACCTCCCTCTACACACCTGCACTGCATCTCTCCACTGGTGCTGGTCCCTCCCCTGCAAGTGTCTGCCCTTCTGCTTCACCCCCAGAATCCCCTGGCACCTGCACCTTCCTTTACCCCTGCACCCTACTGGTGCCTCCCCCTTACCTCACTGCCCCTGCCCCCTTTTTCCCCGTTCTCCTCATTCCTCTGTGCCCTCACACATGCCTTGCTCCATCCCTGCCTTCCTCATGCCCACCCCTTCTTTCAAGCCTTCTCCCAGCACCTCCCTTTCTCCCCTCTAGCCCCACAAAGGCCTTGCCTTCCCCTCTCCTCTCCTAGCATCACCCTGTCCCCCCTCTCACTGACACTTCCCTTCCTGCCCTTTTCCTCATTGTCTCCACTTGGCCCCCTGGCATTTGTCTCTCTCCTGCACTCTGTCCCTTGGTGCCTTCCCCTTTCTTCTCCTGTCCTGCCCCCCTCCCCTCAGCACAAGCCCCTTCCTCTCCGACCCTTTCCTCCTATTTTTCCCTCCTCCTCCAGCAGCCGTCAGCTGGTCTGTAACAGAGTTCTAGGGTCACCCTGACTGTCACCCTTCTAGTGCTCCTCCTACTCTGTCTCTTAGTTTTCTCAGCCCCCTTTTGGGCCACAAACCCCCACCCCACAGTCTCTGGTTCCCAAAGTTCCGGCAGTCCCCATCACTTGGTGCCTGCACCGGGTCCGACTTACAGGGTTGCCAGGTGTCCGGTTTTCTACCGGACAGTCCAGTTTTGGGGCCTTCTGTCTGGTAAAAAAAATCCAGAAAATACCAGACACATGAAATGTGTCATTTGTTCATTTGTTCACCTTATTTGTTTCCATTTATTAATTCCTATTCTTCTTCCTTTCAAAAACAACCTAGGAAATTAAAGGTCAAATGATTGACATATATCAGCATCACTCAGCTAAACCCAGAAGAATTCTACCATTAGTTTACAGCAGCTGAAGATCTTGCACTAAATTCCAAAAGTTATATGAAGATCATACAGGTAAAAGGAAACAACCCACAGCCACATCAATTCAATCTCCTTTCATTATGCAATATTATCTCCTCTTGCTCTCCTTCTGTGGTGCTTTTCCTAACATGTAGTTATATTTATACTTCAGTTCATGTCATTACACATTTAGGCTACGTCTAGACTGGCATGATTTTCCAGAAATACTTTTAACGGAAAAGTTTTTCAGTTAAAAGTATTTCCGCAAAAGCGCGTCTAGATTGGTCCCGGAGTTATCGTTATAACAATGCGCTTTTGTGCAAAAGCACGTCTACATTGGCGGGACGCTTTTGTGCAAAAGCAGAAGCCTGGAACCATTTTTCAGAGGGCAAAAGGGCACCAGCCCTTTCCGGGGGTAGGGGTTGGAGCTTCTTTGAGACACGTGCTTAAAAGGATCTCCCTGGACAGCCGCTTCTCTCCTGCTGTGTACTATAGGACCTCTTGCAGGGACTGTCAGCCGTATCAGTTTTAGTGGTTGCCCTCTCCCTTTTTGGTCACCACTGTTTTTTGTCACTTAGTGCCTTTGCTTGGGTTTTTTTTTTCATCTCCCATATTTTTTCTGCCATGGAGCCAGGGGTGGTCATGTACCTGCTCTGGCCCCTGCTGGCCATTTTGGAGTGCCTGCAGCTGGTGCTCCAGGCTGCTGCCCTCCTGTTCCAGGACCTGGAGGTGCAGATCGCTTTGGACTCCCTCACCACGGAGGTCATGGCGTCCCTGTGGCATCCTCACCCCAGCGTGGAGAGGCCACTGTGTAACTGGACACCAGTACACACTGGTGGGACCGGCTGGTCCTGAGGCAATGGGATGACCAGCAATGGCTCCGGAACTTTCGCATGCGAAAGCGGATGTTCCTGGAGCTGTGTGCCTGGCTCGCTCATGCGCTCCAGAGAGCCACCACTCGGCTGCGGCCACCCATCCCCATCGACAAGAGGGTCGCCATCGCATTATGGAAGCTGGCCACCCTGGACAGCTACCGATCGGTGGCACACCAGTTCAGGGTGGGCAGATCCACTTTCGGTGTCGTCATGATGGAGGTAAGTCCCAAGGGGAGTGGGGAGGGTGTTGCACTCCATGCCCAGGGGCAGCCAGGACTCCAGGCTGGGTCACCCAGGGGTTTGGGCCATCCCTCCCTTGCACAGGCCTGCTGATAGGGGGTAGGGAGCCGTGGGGCGAGGGGGCCCTGGTGTGTCTGTGTGTGTGTGTGTGTGTGTGTGTATGGGTGAGGGCAGAGGGCATCACAGGGTGGGGGGGGAGCACACACTCACCCTGCCTTATGTGATGTGTTCCCCTGTGTTTCTCTGCACCCTTCTGCAGGTCGTCCACACCATCAACGAAGTCCTGCTCCCAAGAGTCATCCGCCTGCGCGACGTGGACACTACAGTGGCCGGCTTCGCTGCCCTTGGGTTCCCCAACTGTGGGGAGCCCTGGATGCAACTCTCATCCCCGTCCGAGTCCCGGAGCATTGAGTGGCCCATTTTATGAACAGGAAAGGGTACTGCTCGATCGTATTCCAGGCCCTCGTGGACCACCATGGCCGCTTCTTAGACATTTATGTGGGCTGGTCCGGCAGGGCACACCACTCCTGCATTCTCCGGAACTCCGGCCTGTTTCGCAGGCTGGAGGCGGGCACCTACTTCCCCCGGTGGGAGTTGACTGTCGGGGATGTGCTTATGCCCATATGTGTCATCGGGGACGCGGCCTACCCCCTGCTGCCCTGGCTAATGAGGCCCTACATGGGGCGGCCAGCCCAGAATCGGGCCTGGTTCAATGACCACCTCAAGCAGGCCCGCAATCACGTGGAGTGCGCCTTCGGCCACTTGAAAGCCCGCTTCCGGTGTTTGCTCACCCGTCTCGAGATGGGTGAGTGGAACGCCACGGAGGTAGTGGCTGCGTGCTCCACAGTCTTGTGGAGCGGAGTGGGGAGGCTTCCTCCCCACATGGATGACAGCCAAGGGCCAGGCCTATGAACAGCCCCACACAGCTGCCATCCGCCAGGCGTACCAGGATGGGGTGCGCATCCGGGAGGCCTTGACGGACATGTTCGCCCAGGCCCCATAGTAGAGTTGCCTCGGTCTCCCTTTACAACTCCCTCCCATCCCAGTTCCTCCCCTCCCAATAAACACCAAACACAAGTTTTGTTTTGAACAGAAAAAACTTGTATTTTTTTATTTACAAGGGGGAGAGGCGGAGGAGATCTTGAACTGGGAGGTGAAGTAGATCTTGAACTTGGAGGGGCAGGAGCTACTCCTGGGAGGGGTGGCCCCTGCGAGAGCTCCTGCGGGGGCGGACCTGCACATGGGGGGCAGGCCGCATTGGGGCAGGCTGCACGGGAAGGTGGACAGGAGGGGCAGGAACAGGAGGGGCTATTGCAGGAGCAGGAGGGGCCATTGCAGGAGGGGGCAGGGGCAGTGCTAGGGAAGGGATGGCAGGGGCTTGGCGCAAGGCCATGTCATAATGGATGGCATGGGCAGTGAGGGTGGCGATCGAATCCGCCATGCGGATGCACTGAGCCTGGAAGGTGCCCCAGGCCTCCTGGCGCTACTGTAGGTCTGCCTCCACACGCCGAGTGATGGCTGCCTCGACGCACTTGACGGCCTGCACATGGTGGTGGTGGCGGAGCCGCTGCCTCAGTGGTTGGGAGGGTTGGGGGGCACTGCAGGGAGCAGAAGAAAGGAGGGGGCAGGCAGGCGGCCCGGCCACTGTCCCCACACCTCATGCCCTCCACCCCTGAGCCCAGGTGACACCACAGTAGTGTAGCTTGGGCCCACTCAGTTCCCTCTCTGCCCCCGTGTTGCATGTTTGCAAGGAGGACCGCCCCTGAAGTAGGGTCTTCCTCTATGTATTGTAACCACTGGTCTGTGTCCTGGCCCCATGGAGGGCGGGAGGGCGCTTGTGTTGTGTTCACTCCCTGCCGCTGGAGGCTGTCAGGCTTTGGGACCATTCATGGGGTCTGACAATGTGC